AGGTTTCTTCACTTTGGCTGGATAGGCACATTTCCATAAAATATTGAAGTCTGATTGGCTAGTACAGTAGTTACCAGGGCTGCCTTTAAAGTTACCTATTTTATCTCCAAAATAACTGCATATTACATCTTTGATTGGTGTAAGACCATTGTCTGTATCCACCATGTTACCATGTAAGTGTTATGTAGCGTCATTGATGTAAGTTGTCATTATTCTATTCAAACAATAGGTGAAATAACTTTGAGCGCAATTTCGGTTCATCTCTTAATTTATTGTAATAGTTTTAATCGAAGGTGTCATATAAAGCCACAGTGGCAACATGATGGATATCAGAAGTGGTGTCATATCGGCATGGTAATTTAAGCTAAGAACATTATAAAACAGTCATTCACATACTTATCACATAAATAGTTTGTGTTGACAATAGCAACCAGTAGAAGTGACTGACTCAATTGCGTCTATATATAAAAAAAGACATAATCACTTCCTAAATAACTTATTACACTGCAATGCAAATTACATAAATTATGTTACTAAACAAAAAACAGAGGTCGAGCAGCGGGAGATTTTAAGTATCATTACAACACTTGATACCCATTGCACAAGAGGTGGTTATCATGCTTGGGTGGTTTAGTGGATAGCACTCTTGCGTTTGAAGCAAAGGGTACTGGGTCCAAGCCCCTGGTGGGAACGATATCACTCACTGGGGTGCAGGTATATTCAGCTGGTGAGTCCCAAATAGGACGAAATACGCATCTTGGATTTTTCTGTTAGTCATCAAGATCAATAAAGCATTCGAGTTACATACAGCATTAACCGATTTAATCAGTAAATTTAGAAGAAAAAAAATTGGTGTCATTAAATTTTTAAAAATAAATTATTAAAGGACATACAGTACATTTTTAAAGGCAAATATTTTCCATATGGGAATGATCTTACTATCTGAATATTCCATTGCATTATATGATGAATGTATTCCATTCAAAAAAATTTAAATTTATCGATCGACAAGAATGTGCTGAGAATATATATATATATATATATATATATATATATATATATATATATATTCTTCTCGATCGATAAATTTAAATTTTTTTGAATGGAATACATTCGTCATATATTGCAATAGAATATATATAATCAGTCCACCTTTATGTGGACACTGCGAATGTGTCTATAAACACATTCAAACACACATAAAGTCCTGCATATATGTATCATCATGTTAAGAAGACAAAGTTGATTGGTGATCTCGTTTCAACCTTAAAAAGAGGCGACAAAGATAAAACAGACGAAAAGGAGATTGAATATCACTGGAAAAAGAAATTGTCAACTGATAATTTTCAAAGAGTTCAACATTAAAATATGTTTTAAGAAATATCGTGTTTTAAATGGAGAAGAAAAAAACCAATAACATAACTTCGTCAACAATTCATACTTATCTGTCCACTTAGTGTAAGATCACAGAAACATAGAATACAATGATAACTGTATTCAAGGTTGACAGAGTTATTTTATTTTTCTTAAGAAAGCGTAAAAAAATCTATATAGTGTTACCCACTACTCTGAATATTGGCCAAAAATGTAGCCTATAACACAGATTGATCGTTTTGTTCGCTTGTATGAAGAAAAGGGTAAGAATTTCGATAGAATGATATTTATACTGTGTGATGATTTGAAGGTGAAATGGAAATTCGAACTTCAGCTGGATTCGAACCAGCGACCACTGGGTTTCCGGCCCAGTGGTTCGACTGCTTACCAGATTTTTATGTTATTTCAGTCACTAAACCATAGCTATCTCAGCTAATCAAGATAAGAATGATATTTCTCACCAACAGTGTATATTACGTAATAAACCTGTACAGCTAGAACTAAAGAAATTTACGAATAACTGTGAGAACAATGGGTTTTGGAATCACTCCCCAAGGTGAATGACATCAATGAAGATCCTTGTAGATTGCTTTTAGATGATTAGAAAATCTGTTCTTGTGTTTCTTAACGAAGATCGCCTAGTTGACACTTCACTACTCTTGGATAAATTGAGCATCTGAGTGATTTAGAAAAATAGATGGCTGTGTCAGTAAGCAGCTTGGAGGATAACGTCTGAAACAGTCAGAGGTGAGTTGAAGTTGTTGTGAAAATCTCAACATAGATGCATATGAATTCACTTGATCTGCCTTGTATCGACTGGCAGCAATCAGTAAGACTTCACTTGTACTTTTAATATAGATTATTGATGCCTTACTAAATCATCCAATAGTGATCATCTGGTCTTTGGTGCCAAGATAGCCAAGGTAGGTTCAGGCTGGAGGACGGCTGAATGCGGCCAGACTAAAGTATGGCATCAGTGTATGGAGTGTTTGACTACTAGTCTGAGCCACATATGACAGTGCAGACTTCCCGGTTGGGATCTCCAAAACAATCAAAACAGGTAGTTCGAGACGTGATGTGATTTGACTTAGAACCCAGTTCGGTGGAATTGATGTATCCACACATTATCTACACTTTAACTGCAGTATTGACGGGTGTGATTTGTCAGCAAATAAACTAACTGCTTTGTAAGCATGGTTGGTTTTCATGACAATTTCGGGTCATATATCACAGTTTTAATTCAAGGGTTAAATTTGATTGCATGTAGATCGTCAGAAATTCTAGCTGGTTTTCTCGTTTGAACCACTGCAAGCCATAATTAGTCGATTTTCATTGAAGCCATTGTGACAATGACGTTTGGACTGACATTGAAAGTTTTGTAGTAAATATTTGTAGCTAGATATCAATACCAGGGAATTATGGATTCACAAGGAAGCAAAGTAATTGAATTGGGTATATATAACGTGCTATCTTGTGTGAGTTTAGTCTCTTTTGTCGCTTCATGAATGTGTGTCAATTCTGATTGGTCGGCTTGTTGTTTCTGGTGCAACTATGTCATTGGTTGTGACTTATTTTGTCAACTTGCTATACTTTGAGGTCGTTTCGTTACGATTGGTTGTCCCATCTTGTTTGCATGAACAGGCAACCAATCAGGGTGGACCTAGGCAAGGTGGCGTATTATAAATCTTCATGCACAATTACTTCACTTCCTTGTGAAGCTCCAATAGCCTGATATCGATGTCTAGCATGACGATGAAACATTTGATAACTAAAACCTTAATTTAGGCAGAAACTGACTATGAATATCGAAAGTTTTGTCTATGAAAATACTGGCTTTAAAAGCAAAATGTATCCAGAGTATTTCTAAGCATGCCCATTGATTTCAGATGAACAAACTTGCACCAATTAGTGAAACTAAAGTCAACAAGTGTAAACTCACCACAAGGTTTAGTTAGCACAAATTGGAATGGAAACAGTTAATTTCTCCTCGAAAAGGTGGATTAAATTTGATCACTTTGAGAAAACATCAGTATTTTCTCATTTTTACGAGGGAAACGCCTTTCGTATGCTCATAAGCAACCCACCACTCAACATGCATTAGAATATTATTACTTTTTTAGACTTGTAAGTCTGCAGTGTGATACTGAATCGGACTGATCCACCTCTGTTGGCATATGAGGTCAGAGTCTCAGTGGTCAGAATACCACTCACTAGAAAGGAGTTATATCAAGGCGATGAGTCCCAAGTCGGACGAAATGCGCTATCTGGATTCCATTACTAGCCACAACCAAGTCAATTGTACATTAGAAGAAATGAGATCATAGAGAATGTTTGGAATAGGATACAAATTCAGGTAACTCTTTCGGTTAATAGTCTACGCCCTTTACCTATTAGTACACCTGAGTCAATGCAATTCATGCTACTCTGTAGAGAGTCATGTAGTTTATCTTCCGCCTCATCACCAACACAACCTAAGCATTAGTACACTGTTTTTCTTGTTCAGTTTGTCTTAAAGTTGGTAACAGTAGCCTGCGTTAATGAAAAACCTTCTATTCTAGCTAAGTGAATAGGTTTGAAGCTTTCTGCCAGTTCATCTTGCCAAGTTTAGTAAGAGTTTTGAAATTAGAGGCATATATATTTCCATAAAGTGATGGGCACTTTTATCTGCTGCTGCCGCTAGTTTGACTCCTGTAGTGACAGAGACTCAATAGAAGTTCGGCTATTCACAGTCAACTACAACAACACCAAAGAATGAAATATACTTGATTTGTTTAGAATCATCAAAGGTATGGAAGTCCTATCTTAGGATGAAACAGCTGTCCAGTGCTCTCAGGTCTTCAATAGTTCCCCAACTAATGTCAGTTCGTGATGAGTATGAGCCTAAAATAAATAAATAAATCCCCCTAAACCTCGGAGATCGTGCGAGGAAGAAATGAGAGCTTCTGGGCTGTCATGGAGCCAGGTTCAAAAGATTTCAGAGAACAGAGCGCACTGGAGACGTGCTACTGAAGCCGCATGTTCCATTAGGAACCCAAGACACAAATAAATAAATAAACCTCGGAATTAAAGATGCATAGTTAGCATTATTTTCAAAAACTTAAAGTAATAATGTTATTGCTTGAATTATCCCTTCGTTGAGTGAACCGAAATGATCACTTTTTATCCATCAAGAGCCCATATATCAATAGAGATCGATCAAATTCGTTCCATTCAGCGACAGGATAATACAAGTAAAAACACTAAAACTATACCCATTGTACAAGAAATGACCATCATAACTCTGCAGCCTAGTGAATAACACTCTAGTGTTTGAAACGATCGGTTTCGAGTTCAAGTCCCAGCGAGAACAACATTGGTCACTGGGAGGTAGGTAAATCAAGCTGACGAGTCTCAAATAGAACGAAATGTGCATCCTGAATTACATTATTCAACAGTAATGTAAAACTTTTCATACATGTAAGAGATCACAAAACCCACTAAAGCCTCATGTGTACACTATTCAACATGAATTACTATGGACAGTTTGTCAACCTCAGGGTACTATAATCGTTATATTAGTGTTATATACATATACATAAATCTAGATGATATTTGAAAATAGTTAACATAATCACAAGATAAGTTACCTTTACGGACATTGTGAACTGATACTGGTTTGTTTCCACAGACTCGAAATCCATAACCGTATTCATCTCGTTGAACAATTGTTCGAAATTCTAATGTTACACTTTGTTGATTCATTGTTGGCTTTGTAGAATGTTCTTCTACTTTTATGTTCTCTGATGATTTGTTCAATTTCCTCTCAAGTTTATTATTATTATTATTATCTTGATTGTAAGCGTCATTTTTGTTTGTTTCAGTCTTCTTATTCACATCAGATTCCGTCTCTTCAAATGGAGATGAATTTGCAGTACTATAACGACTAGCTGAACTGCTTTCATCATCTTCATCAACTTCAGTAGTGAGATCCTTGTCATTGTGATGGCTACATGATGGAAGTGAATCTGATTTAACATCAGTATTTTGCATTATTGTGTTGAAATCACCAGTTTCTGTTCTTTGACTTTTAGATGGAATGCTTAAATTCAAATCCTTCTTGTTTTCAGTAGTATCTTCACAATGACTAATACCAGTTGCTATGACTGCAGGTACCTGACTTAATCGTGATAAATTTTTATTGATTGGAGGCTCAAAATTTGTAGTTGTCAGCCTCTGGCTAGATTTGAACAATAAAAATAAGAGAAAGAAACAATGAAACTCAGGTAAATGAAGAGGTAGTGTTAAAAACAAATAGGAAAATTCAATAGTGATAATTTCTTTGATGTTATAGCTTGTGATTGGACCGAAGTGATCAGTCCTTTGTGAATGCCTCGATATTACTGGGATTTTCAAATTTGACATTTCAAATTGGAATCCATCATAGACTGATATGAGATGGAGAAACATTGGAAACCTGGGAGCACTGATTAGGCGGCTATTTCGACCGACTATGGGACTCCTGAGCAGTGCAATCCCATCAGCGATCGAACACACGACCTTAAGGTTTCACGACCAGCATGGTACCAGTGAGTGACTCATTTAGAATCCAATGGTTCATATTTCCCAAATTTTGTCAGTTCATGATATAGCGTGACTTCCATCCAATGGCGTCGTTGAGTAACTGTCCTCATGTTCGACTTGATTGACTCCACAACTTCTCATTGGAATTACGGGAATCGCCTTTTAAAGCTAGTCCCCAATGAGCGCTAGTTTAATTCAGTTTGGAGATTTGTACAGATTTACTAACTAGTTTCAAGTTGGTTTTCATCAAAGACTGACATGGGAGCACTGGACAGCTGTTTCTTCCGAGTATGTGACTCCTGAGCAGTGCACACCCATCACCCCGCGGCACCAGGAATCGAACTGAGGATCATCAGGACTTATGGCCAGAACGTCACCAATGAGTCACTGGGTCGGAATTCAGTGGTCTGTATTTCCTACTTCTTCAATTAATAAACCTTTACAGACCTCGAGATTAAATTAGACTGATATTGTATATATATATATATATATATATATATATATATATATATATATATATATATATATATAAAGAACATTAAGTTGGGTATATTTCATAGTTCTAGGAGACAGTTTGACTAAGGTATGCTTTAAACAGATTGAATAGTTTCACTTCAACTCAAATATATTCAACCCACCCACGAACTGATTTTCTATGTCATAAGAACATAGTGTATCTGACTTCTTAGTTGAATAACATGCTGAACATAACCGTGTATTGTATATGTAGAAAGGTTCTACCTGCCCACTATAATTTCAAAGGAAGGATAAGATCATCTTCAGTTTATTGGACAGTCAGCAGTAACCCTGTGATCATTTTGAAATCATGTTCGATTTGTCTTTACAGACGGTAAGAAGACTATTACTTTTATCAGCTGTTCATTGAAAGCGATTTCGATATAGAGGCTGCACTGAAACTAATACATAAGCACAAGGGCATCTTCAGATAGCCAGTGACAACTGAATCTGTTATTTAAATGAGAATATATCTCAAAAGAAGAACTTTTGACTGATATAAGAGTGAAACTTGGGCCCTGTGGTAGATTGTAATTCCGCTTTAGTCTGTTTATTATAAATGTCATACAGTAAAATAGTATCACTTACTCGATTACGTTTCGGACACAATTTATTGTCCATATTCATATCAAGTAACTAAATCCACAACTTAGAGACAGAGTTCATAGAATCCTAATTTTCTCTACTTCTCTCTGATGACAAGGCTACTAGGATTTTCCATGTATTTCGGACAGGTGCAGAATCATTCCAGTTGCATGCATTTGGTGTTGATTCCATAAACAAAGATTCGGTTGCCAATCTCTCCCCCACTCCACTCAACTAAGTTAGTTTTCAACACTGTCTCCTTATCCCACCCTAATGTGTCATTGTGTGTAACTGTGTGCAGAGCTATAGCTCGGCTTTTCTCTAAATTTCTTATCTTATTAGGATATACTAATCTTGACTTAGCTAAGTTTTTGTGCTTCGTTTATCCTAATTGACTGTGGTTGACTACTTTGACTGACCTATGTATTTGACCTCGGAATCATTGCAGTAGGTTTGCTATACCAAATTATTGTACCTAATTGGATCAGTAGGATCTTCTAACCTACAAAGCTTGTTTCTAAGCGAATTTGTTGTTTTGAATGCCACTTTAATCGCAGCCAGTCTGGTTAAGAATTCTTCATAATGCTGGTGAGGTGCCTTTCCTGTATGGTCACACACTAGAGGCTTTGAATTCTCTCTCAAACCTGTCACCATTATTACCATTAGTAGTGGGATTATTATTAATAACACGTGTATTACTACTACTAATGCCACTGCCAGTATTTTCCTTTCGATTTCTTATGAATTTATTTATAAATTCAGGTGGGGAATTATTGAGACGCAAGGTATTCTTGATGTATCTATTTTCTTGTGGTAGATTTTTCTGTCTATTAGTAAGCTTTTCTGCCCTATCACTAAGGTATTTAATTCAGCCTACTTTGACTGGAATAGGGTTGGAGGATTCGTGGTTTAAGTTCAGATTCGAATGGGTAGGTTTCCTATAGACACTAGTTTCTAAACTTCCGTCTTGTGTTCGTCTGATCTTGCAATGCAACATTGGTAGTTCACCTTCATCACTTTCAAAGTCACAGGTAAATTAGATTGTATTCACCACTGAATTTATATGTACCAAGAACCTATTGATGTCTTCCAATTTCAGTACTGTGAACATATCGTCTACATATCGGAACCATATCTTTGGAGTAGAATTAAATGTTTGAAGGACCATCTGTTCCCAACTATCCATAAATATGTCTGGGACGATAGACAATATTGGTGATCCCATGACACCACCTTTAGTTTGTTTATATATTTTATTTTGAAATTTAAAGACTGTAGATGTTAGGCACAATCGAACTCCTAGCAAGTTATCCAGTAAATGATGCTGTTTCACTGTGTGATATTTCTAATAAACAGACTAAAATAGAACTTTTGACTCAGTTTCTATATGAATGACAAATTTATAGTGGAATGTAAGACTTCAAATAAGGTTTTACAACTTTATTTTCAAAGTTTTCAGCTTTATAAAGTGCTATATGATTTTAATATTTAATTAGAAACTGGGTTGATACTTGGTGATGACTGAAAGTGAAATGACAATTTGGTCTGATGAAGGATTCGAAGCAGCAACCACAGGGTTTTTGGGTATGGTGCTCTACTAACTGAGATAAGAGATCTACTTCAATCATCACTCAGTATCAAAGTAAGTTCACCAAACCATGGTTATCTCAGACGGTCTTTCATACTTGAAAGTAAAGTCAATCGAAATGAAATCAAAATGTAACCAACAATATTGTACACATTCATGCATTAGGCAATGAGCCACACTTATCTTGTGAGGGTTAATGATACCAATACCTGAGTGCCAAAACCTTGGTAGGTGCGACAGGATTCGAACTCATGACCTACTAGTAGAATGTCATCTCCCTAACCCACTGAAGTAAGGTGTCCTCTAGTAACTAAATATATTGTACTCATAGCGCTTCAAAAATTAAATATAATTCACAGTTTGATCTTTCTGCTTTAAATAATTATAACTTAGAAATAATTCAGAAATAAACTTTGATGTTTTCCACAGTATCTACGCCGACTGATAGTCAAACTTTCTGTTTATATTTAGAAGAGATACAATGTTTTTTGATAGGTTTCATTATTCTTAAAGTAAATGTCATTGTTACAGGGGACAAAGAAAATCCTCCTACCAAAATAATACTATTTTCTTAGCGTTTATACAGTTCAAAGTGACTTTCAATAGGATATTTAGAATTTCTACTAGAAAATTGAAGCAAGTAATCATGAAAAGAAATGCTGTAGGCATAAAAGATTCACTGAAATGTTTCCAGCTTCAAGAAGATAAAATATGTACACGAAATGTAGGATATATGCCAGCTAATTGGATGAAAGGAATAAAAAAAGTAAGAATAAACAACATTAAAGATTATACTTTATTGAAAATTTCACTGTAATTCATTATCCACTAGAAAAACAATTTGTATAAAATTTCTTAATGCCTTTCTTTCCAATAGCGAAATATACTACTATTGAATGATTTGAGTAGTTACAGACCATTCAGTTTGATCTATAAATTTCGCTAGCCAGATAGCAGTGATCTAAACACTGAACAGATGTTTGACTCGTTTCAAGCCCAACCAACTCATCAGCCATGCACTTGGACAAATTCTGCTCACCTGAATCTGGCTGCCTAGCTGACTTGCATGAATAAGCACAGCAACCGTGCTGTGTTTAGATCACTCTTGTCTGGCTGGAGGAATGCTACAGATCAGCCTGAGGGGTTTCTAACAACACAGTAGTAGTACTGTGAGCAGTAGTAGTAATAGTAGTGTTAGTAGTAGTAGTAGTGTGAGTAGTAGTAGTAGTAGTGTGAGTAGTAGTAGTAGTAGTAGTATATTTCGCTAGTTCATAACACTTTTGTGTTGGAGATCACCCACATACACACTGTGATCTTGGCTTTGTAAAAACCTTTTTGACTGGGATCACAGTCGGGCAGTTGAGAAATTTGTAGTTTACCTACAACCTTTGAGTCCATTGTGCAATGGGACCGCAACGACTATTTGTGAATCATATTATTTTCATAACCCAGTTTTCTACTTCATCTAGATAACTAAGGTAAATTGTTAAGATAGATTACACTCATCCAAAAGGTTCAACGTTTACCATTTAAATGATACAGTCGTGTAAATTTCAGCAGTGTACGATTTACAAAATACACAATGTGATATTCATTTAAAAAATCTGTTTCAAATTTTCTGCATGGTACAAATGAAAGGCTTCATTGGGATGATATTAATCAATAAACCTAGCTCAAATTGATTAGATGGATAGTGTACATTTCAACATCATGGATAGCAAACAGTGTGATATTATTTATGTATTCCTGAGCATTTGACAAACCTTACTTAACAATATATAGCCGCTTAGGTGAATGATTTAGCATACCCCATACACTGTGATGAGTATATTTCATGCGTGGAGTAACTAACCACAGCGTATATTAGACTTGGTGAGGTCTATTTGGAACTGGCTTATTATTATTATTTTATTATTTGTCCTTTGGGTTCCTAGTGGAACATAGGGCTTCGGTAGCACATCGCCATC